TTTTCATTAAAGTTAAACACCTACACAAAACACGCATTTTCATTTTCATTTTCAATCGTTTTCATTTTCATTCTCATCATTTTCAATTAGACTGTCACTAGGTATGTTAAACAAACCCATGCTTACACAGCAACAAAACTAGTAACAGTCTAGTTATATTGAAAATGATATCACCTTTGTTGGTTCGGTAATAACCAATTAAACATCATTTGATGATACTTCGACCCTTAAACAAGTAATGAATGTTTGATGAGAAGAATAATATAATTAATCTGGATAGCTTTACTTAAGCACCCCTCAGGAGGGTAAAGTTGCACATAATCATTGAAGTCATCAAAAATTGAGGACAGAAAATTCAAACAAATCTTGATCCACCACGCTTGTAGAGAACGCTGGATCTACCTTATTAGCATTTAAAAACAGAAAACAACATTGTGTAACTATTGCGGGCTTATTTTTCATTTATTTTTCATGCTTACACAGCAAAACTAAAAATTGAAGAGATGAAGCATATTTTCTTGCTTTGTCTCTCAGCATCAGCATTATATATGACAAACGTACAGACAGTGCTAATTTCTCACGTGAAAGCTGTTAATAGGGCAAACAAAATTCAATTTCTATTCCTAGAGTTACAAAGTACCAACGACAAAAACGTGTATTGCGAAGTTGTAAACTTAACAGCTTGTATGCTAAACGACTTCTGTTTTTTCACCACTCCGCTGTATTTTCAATGCAGAGTGGGCATGATACAAAATAATTTAATAACTGGCGAAATTACATAAAAACGTAAAACAGAAAAGAGTCAAGTTCTGTTGGTAGAGTTACAATATTATGTACACATTGCAATTGGTAAACTGTGGAGCCAGGAAGGGAACTTTCTTGCCTTTGGTCATCTGACGTTATCATGACTACAAACTGCAAATAACAAAAATTGGACTGACTAGATGTCTATGTCTCGCTTTTCCTCGGGCATCATTTGGATGAGTATGACTGTGCTTTTAGTTGCAAAAACCTAAATTTGGCAAACATTAATAATAATAATACGAGCTCTGAATAAATAAGCATTCGTCCACGTCGTGAACTTGGCGATTATTTGGACTTGGCCCACTTCTCCCGAAATCTCGAATCAGGTTTCCTCTGAATGCTGAGGATGTGACGTCGATCAATTGGGAGATATCAGTGTGGAGCTGTTGTGATATTATTGTCAATATCACAGTGATATAGTTTCCAAAGAGGGTGTTAATGATTGTGATGGATAAATAAACGATACTTCAAAATGAGAAATTTATTCTTAAATGGTTCAAGCGCTGGACCGTGAACCGACCATTGATCAAATTCCTGTGGCTTTCTTCCTTCTACCCGCTCTAGAAAAGGACATAATGTAGTGCTGTTATAAAATATGATCTTTTTTACGGGTTATATTCGTTTTCCTTTATATTTTTTGCGATTCCCTATGGTTACTCCATGGTCGCTAAAATAAGTACGTTATAGTGTCATATCGATCTCATTTATTCTTGAGAGCGTGTCCACGAGAAAACCGGGCCGAGGGAGATACAGCTGAAATCACCGATTTGGCCCAAACTCGGTACAAATGCTAAATATCACAAGTTAAAAAATGTGGGAAAATAATAGTTCAAAATATTTAATTCCTCGGGAAATATAGGATCCCCCTGGGAAAACCGCCATTTCCGGCATTTTTTTCTTAATTATTTAACTGATTTTGCATTGCTGCTGTGACAAACCGAGAGCCATCTGCAAATTCAATCAACTGGGTTGTGTTCTATATTCATCAAACCTCAAGAACATTGATTTGCTTTAACTTTTTCATTTCATTTCTTTCCTTACCTCTCCCTTAAGTAAAGACTGCTTTTTCTGGTTTTAACAAAGTCAACAAATAAGGGTATTTTAAGGCCCAATATCTCCGATGACCAACTACTTCTGATCGTTACTCCTACTGAGCAGTGAAAGCCATCACTGGACTTCCAAAATCAGTAATAAAACTTTGGGGCAACTGATTTCATAACCCGTGCTGACGTGAAATTTACATCTAACTCCTACTTTTTGGTCTATATCCTCAAAATACCGTAAACCACACTTTGTGCTATTAACATGAAATAACTAGAAATTTACAGAAATTTCCCAGAGAGTATCGTTTAAACATGAACCAGAATCTTTGAATTGCGTAATTTGAGCCCTTTTTTCGAATTTTTTCACCGCCATATTTGGGTTATTCTCGAGGAAACACGGCAGTTGATGACGAACATCACGGGCGCTTGTGGTCGAACTCTCATAAAAAAAAAAAAATCTAGGAAGAAACTTGATAGTACATATATGTCTCTGTGGTGCCTCAGTTTCCCGTTTTGGTCTATGGCCGCATGTATCTACGGGTTTACTTATAGTTGATTCCCTGGGAGATATAGGGTCCCCCTGAGAAAACCGCCATTTCGGGAATTTTTTGCATAATTATTTAGCAGACTATGCATAGCTGCTGTGACAACCCGAAAAGCCATCTGCAAATTCAGTCACCTGGGTGGTGTTCTGCCTATTTTACACTGATGGCTTTGACGATTGAAGCGGAGAAATAGTTTCAGTCTTCAGTGATGGTCTTCTTATCTGTTTCGAGATTACTCCAATCTTGATGGACGTCATAGATTGTTTTTATTTTTTTGTAGTGAGGAAGCACCTTATTCATGCTCGCCAAAATGACTTTGAGTCCTCAATATTTTCTTGGATAAGGTTCCGTTTGTAATTGGCTTTAGTGGAGCGTACCTTGTTGTTGACTTCATTTCGTAGTTTACT